GACTATCAAACACTGCTTCTGTTAAATCTTTCCTGGGTGGATCACTGTTAAAATTTTTCAGAATGAATATGGAATGGTTATTTGATAAATGAAATGTCATTTTCTAAAACAGGTGAACAACATTAGGGGGTATGTTCCTGGCGTATAGTATTCTTCCTGGTGTGTCTCTTTGAACTACAATATCTTTCTTGTCTTATCTACATGGGTTGAGGCTCATGTATTATGTATGGCACATGTCTGAAAGAGTTTTGAATTCTTAATGATGGTCATGTTATGTATGTGTTACGCCGAGGGTAAGATATTCACTTATGTATTTTGATGTTAAGCTTTTCTTTTGTTTAGTTATTAACATTGATTAATTTTTTTAGATTAAATTATTAATTTTTTTATCATTTGCAAATATTCAGGGAATGAATAAGGTTGCAACCTATAAATGGGTCCATTCTAAAGAACACAATTGTGTTACATTCATTAATGCGAAAGCAACTAAAGTAGCTGTGAGCTGATTTCCATTATCGTTTTCATAATTCATTCTAAATAAATATATTTTATTATTTAAATTTTGTTGGGAATGGGTTATTTATATTGTTAGATAAGCTCATTTTGTATTTTTTCTTGTAATTAATTCTTTATTATTAAGTTGCCGATGAATTTTAGTGGGATTCTTATCATAGCTTAAATTTTTATTTGGCGTTATTATTGTGTTGGTTGGCATAGGTTTATTATTCATCTTTAGGTTGGTTGGTGGGTTAAATTGGTGTTATTATTATGTTTATGATTCATTCTAAATAAAAATATTTTATTGTTTAAATTTTGTTGGGGAATGAATTAATTATATTGTTAGACAATCTCATTTTGTATTTTTTGTTGTCATGCATTCTTTATATTAAGTTGCAGATGAATTTTAGTAGGATTTTAATCATAACTTAAATTTTTAGTTAAATTGGACATATATTTTACGTTAATTTTTTTTTGATGTTGTAAATTAAGTTGGACCAAAAGTAACCGTTTATTGATCTTAATATACTTCAAGAGCAGAAATTTTGTTTTGTATTGATTGATTGAGCTCATGATTAAAGGATTAACATAAGGCACTAAAAGTTATAGACCTATTGAAATATTGACTTTAATTGGATTTGGTTGCCTCCTTCCGGGCATTTATTGGGGCATGTAAATTTTAGTGTTGAAGTCATATGCATTGCCACCATATTGTTGTTGTTGTTGGTTGTTGTTGTTCTTATTATTATTATTATTATTATTATTATTATTCATTTGTATCAAATATTTTTATGATTTTGTTTGGAAAACTAACATTGTATTCATCTAAATTATTTTCAGGACGAAGTGGATGCTGTTGAAGCACACCCGACTCAACAAGGAAATACGTCATATGATCCGGATAATGTGTTCCTCACCATAGTACCCCGTGACAAGAAAAATCGCATTTATGGGTTGGGGTCATTAGGTGCGACTGTTCCTCCTCGACCATCATCCTTCTGCAGGGATGGTCGTACTCCGGACACATTTATTCTTGAGGAACGATTGACAAAGATGGAGTGTGAGTTGGGTGAGTTGAGGACAGATCTTGCCGAGGGACGTAGTCAATGGGAAGTGATGCAATGTGTCAAAAATATGGAAAACCAACAACGAGCCATCTATGACTTGAACTTGACCATTATGGAGCAATTATGACGTATGGGAGCACTATCCATTCATAGGTCCGAACCCGATTCAGATGGTGGTAGTGCTCCGATATCATGATATTTTATCATTACAAGTGTTTTAGTTACGACCTCAGTTGTTTTGGTATGATATTATGGTAACTTGAATTAGATTTATACATTTTTCTGATATGTGCTACTTGCGGTACTCATACTAAATACATTGTGTTTTTGGTCTATTGATAGTGTTTAAATTTGAAAATTTTATATGATTTCAACTAGTTCTTGTATCTTTGAGAAGGTATATAAATCGAATCATTAAATTTATTGATTATAGAGGATTGAATTAATATTTTTTAGATAGATATTGAAAAAAAAAATTGACAAGAAACGAGCAAAAGAAATTGTAAAAATTGCGACGGAATTAGCAATAGTTATATTCTCTCACAATTTGCTATTCTATTTGCAACGGATCTTGCAACATATATATTCTTTTTTAAAATGCGTTGCAAAAACTTGCAACAGAATTAGCCACAGATCTTTTCCATTACATTGCACTATGACAACAATATATTTCTGTAGTAAAATTCTGTAACAAAAAATTGCGATAGAAATGACTGTCACTAATTCTATTGCAATTCTCTGCAACGGAAAATTTTAGTTGTCACATTGGGTTACTACAATAATATTTACTACAACTTCCACTTGGTCGCAAATTCCGTTGTAATTGAAAGTTATAACAGAAATTTTGTCAGTTGTGATGGAATTTTTCCGTAGTAATTTGTAATTTTTTTATAGTGGATCTAGAACTTGATTTTATTACGAAAAACCAACGAATAAGCAAAGAAAAGTTTCAACTATGATTTGGTTTTAGGCTCAACCCTCAAATCACTCAAGAAACACAAATCCACACAAACAAATCCAAAATCACGGCCATACATGCGAAACTAGCCCTCACACTCACGACACAACTGAAAATGATCCTCACAAGTAAGGAAACGAAGAAGACGGCACAAACAGTGGCTGAAAAAGTAGGAAACCACACAAATCATAGGTAAAACTCAAAACCGAACCCTTTTCAGTTTGATTTGAAATATGGGAAGTGAAAGCGCCTCTAAATATCCACAAACACAAGAAAAAACGGCTCGTCGGAAGTCACTGGAAGGTTTCCCGAGTATTGCAATGAGAGAAATGAGAAAAAGAGAGATTTAGTGAGAGAAAGTAGAGAGTGGGAGTAAGATTATCAATGACGGCTCTCTCTCTATAGCATACATATATATATATGTAGGTTAAGTGAGATCGAACGGAAGGGATAAAATCCTTAGATCCAACGGTCCAGATGGAGTTTCATAAAGAGATACGAGTCATGAAGCAGACAAGTGGGTCAGGCACGGTATGGGTCGGCTCACCAACGGGTATGGCCAGGGTACACAAGCCACAAATATTTGGGTGTGTTTGTGTATGGCTATGGATACAAATTAGTCTCTTTATAAAAATCATAGACCAAAATTTATAATAATCCTTCATTTAATTTTGGTCTTGGGTGGCTAGGGTCATTATTGCCTAATATGTTAGATTATTTGTGTGCACAAAGAAAAAAATATAAATCAAGTTAGTCTAAAATATATTAATTTAGCCTAACATCTACACACAATAGGAACTCAACTAATCAAATGGATCAAAGTATATGATTTTGAAACAAGATGTAAACTTATTAATTTTTTAAAATATTATATTCACAACTAGGGCTGACAAAAATTAACTCGACCTGATAACTCGATCCAAATCTGACCTGAAATAGTTGGGTTTGGGTTGAGATTTTCGATCCAATTAATAATTGGGTCAAACCCGTTTAACCCATTTAATTAAATGGGTCAGGTTAAGGTCTACATTTTCGACCTGAAAATAACCCGTCTAACCTGGTTAATTAATATTATTTTAAATTTAAATATATTTTTTAAATTTTATCAATTCAATTCAATATTTATGGCCAATTTTATAAAAATAAAAAATAAAAAATAAAGGATTCTGTTGTGTACTATTATGTAGCGTTTGTTAATTCAATTCTTGGATATCGGTTTCATGTTATGAATAAATAATTTTTTGCTTTAATATATATATATTATGCATTTAAAAATTTTGTTAGTATAAATTGTAATTTTAAATTAAAATTTAAAAATTTTAGATTTAAACGGGTTATATGAGTCAGATTCAGGTTGACCCGATTAATAAAATGTCAGGTTAAGGTTGCAAATATCAACCCATTTAATTAAATGGGTCAGGTTCAGGTCAAGGGTTTTGTAACCCGTTTAAGCTGACCCAAACCTGAACCCGACCCGACCTGATCCGTTTGCCAGCCCTATTCACAACAATAGAAATATTTCAAATTCACACATTGGTGAAACAACTTAAAATTATAAATGTATCATACAATAAAAATATAAATACGTAACACACAATATACAAACAAAAGCTTTAACAAGTTTTGTGAGTTTCATATCATTCAAAATTAATTATAACATATATCAAAGAAACCAATACCAAAGACTATGAACTCATTAAAAACTTTTATTATGCACTAATGACTTATCTTCTCTTAACACTAAATATTGACATTTATTTTCAGAATTAATCGATTTTCTAACCATCATAGGTTTATCCATATATAAGTCTTCGAACATATCATTAGACAAAGAAGAAGAATCAAAATTACTAAACATAGAGAACACTTGAAGACTATTCATAATCTCACACTACCAAAAAAGTGACTTTTTGTAGCGGACAAACTGTCCGTATAATTAAGTCCGTCACAAAAAAAGTTTTTGTTGACTAATTTTTTAATGTTGGTCAAGCTTTTGTTTTACTCGTTTCGATAATTTTATTGTAACAACTACATATAGGACAATTTATCGTCCTATATATATTTGTTACGCAATTCAAGTTGTAACAAAAAATATCACTATTATAATTCAAAAGCAACTTATTTATTTCAGTAATATATTCATAATAAGTACATATATTCATAATAAGTACATATACTGATGATGTGTCGTCTTATATATTTGTTTCGCAATTTAAACGGTAACAAAAAGTTAATATTATAATTTTAAAAATTTTGTATAAAATTATTTTAAAATGAAATAATATATTAGTTGTTTCGATAATTCATCGGTAACAACTATATATAAATTGATATCTCGTCCTATATGCATTTTTTACCCAATTCAAGTAGTAACAAAAATATTAATATTATAATTATAAATAAAAATTTAAAAAATTCCATTTTTCTGTATTTTAAAATTCAATAAAAAATAAAAAATTCTCTCATTCCTTAGGCGCGATCTCTGGACATTTTGGTTTTCCTCCACTAGTTCGTTGGGGCAGCCCTTAGCGGGTCTTCTCCGTCCGGTGGCTGGCGCCGGTGCCCTTTGGCATGAAGTTCGTTCACCCCTTTGTTTAGGGCTCCGTTTAGGGCTCCGTTTAGGGCTCATTCTCCCAGTTCTTTGTCTGCTTCTGCTCGTCGACCAGCTGCCGGCCCTTGGTTTTGGGTCCTCCCTGCCGGCTCTCCAATGGTTTCCTGGGCTTGTTGAAGTGTGATTTGGTCTTCTCTCTGATCGTTCCAGCCTTCATCTCCTTTCGTTGGTCCAATGAAGCCCTCTATCTCCGATGGTGTGCGCTCATACCGGCAGAGGTCTCTGTGGTTCGATTCCTGATCTGAAAACCTTTGGATTGCTTGATTGGTGGTGAAGAAGAGTCCTTTTCCGGCCTGGGGTTCCTTGTCTCAGTCTCAGAAGCACTGTTCCCGCGTCATCTCCTCCAAGTATACTCTGCTCTTTCTCTGTTCGAAGACCTGGAGTGGCCTTGGTGGGTTTTTGGCCTGGTGTGGCCTTGATTAATTTGTGCTCTCCTCTCTCCATTGCTTGTATGTGCTTCTGCCTTATTTTCTATTTGATTTGAGTTCTCTGGTTATATTAGGATTTCTTTGGACTTGTAGTGATTTTTGTTCTGTGTTCTTTATTTATGCAATCCAAGGAAGGCTTTGCACACTGATTTATTTCTAGTATGCTCATATTTATTCTTCTGAGCTGCAGACATGTTCTGTTTTGGTTAACCATGGAAAAAAAATTAATAAATCCAAATTTAGAAGGCTTTAATCTTCTCCAAGTGAAACGTGAAGCTTCCAGCTCCAATAATATCTCCCCCTTGTCGAGTTCAAGTGTCGGGGAAATCCTCAAATAGCCAAATGATATACCGAAGTCGTCCCTTGGATGAACCTGTGGACAATTATGTTGCCTATAGAAAGATAATTAAGTTATCTTTTATATGTGTTTTGCATATCAAATTTCTTAGCCATATCTTCTTGATCTGGTTCTTTAATCTCTGTTTAAGTTCTTAGTTTATACAATTTACTTGTGAATGGACGGAAATGATACTTTTTTATGCAGTGGATCGATGAAGTGGTACATTCTAGATCAGCTTTGAGTTTTCAGAGCTGTAAATTGCATTTTTACTATGACAACTCCTAGTTTTAATGCATTTTTTCTTAACTGCTAGATTCTTATAGGACCTTTCTCTGATCATGTCCCTGATATCTGCGGAGTTGTGTCTAATGGATCGCTTTGCACTACACCGCCTGTTAAGGGTAGAAAGTGATGCACCGAGCAGAAAGGAATGAGAGTGAAAAGCTTGAGTTTTAAACCGGTTACAGAGGCAAAAACTTCTTCGAGTCCTGGAGATATGGATTCCAGCAGAGTGAAATCACCTAAATTGTGTACTAATTTTCAAGATCAGTCATATATCTACGAGGCATCGAGTAATGAAATTGGTCCTATCGTGGATTCGTCTTGGACGACAGGTCGCCTTGTCGAAGAAAGCATTTTCAAAGAAATAATGAGTGTTTGAAGCATAAGGGGAGAAGGATTCGTAAAATCTATGGGATGTGAAACAAATCCATTCTCTTTGATGATAAGGTGAGTTAATTAAATGTTGTGCATTGACAAGTAGCTTTGGTGTAGACAAGATAAGATAAAATTGTGTGTATATATATATATATCTGATTGGTAGTGGAGCTTAATTTAACTTGATAGGATTATTTCAGGAGCCTGAAGGAGTTTTGGCCTACTTGTGCTTTGTGCATATTTAAATAAATTTAAATAGTTGCTGCACTTTTTGTAGATTTTAGTTAGTTATAACAATGTTGTCTTGTTTTGTTAAATGATGTCAATAAAAAATATACTAAAAAAGAAAATTTCTTCCCAACCACATAGTTAGTGTCAAGGATTATGCTTTTATTATATGTACATTATTATACTTACACCAAACAACCTAGTTGTTAATCGATCTGCATGACATGTGAATGAATGTTGTCCCATGGGCTGTGACAATTAAATGTTAATTATATTGTGTTACATTGTGTGTTATATGATGATATTATCCTTCATTTCTTTGAAGAGCTGATTCGTGCTATACAACATTCTTTTTTTAGTTTGATTTGCAGGTAATTCAAATCAATGTTATTTTGAATTATATTGTGTGACGTCTGGTTGTTTCATTGATAAAATACAAATCAACATTGAACTTGGACTTGCACCCCTTTTTTCTAGTTTGTCAATGTGTCTAATCTTTCTGATAATATGTAGCAACTTCTAATGATACACTCGCCCAAAAACATGTGGTTCAACATGGAATCCATGATGTACTGTCCCCAAAACTTTCTCCCTATTATCACTGGAATTACCTTTATTTTGAACAATGTAAAGATAATCATAATATGAGATAGATGAGTAGTGTTTCTAGCTAGGCATGCCTGCAATTCTTCTCTATGGATTTGATTGTTAAAATTTATAGAAAATGTTATCAGAACTTAAAATTGTTTTTTAGACTTGTTGTGTTACTAGTACTTGTTTTTATAATTTAGCACACAATTAACTTGGCACATGCCTGCAATTGTTTTGTAGATTTGTTGTGTTACACCCTATGAACGCTAGAGCGAAAATCCATGGTGAGGTACTTAACGAAGATAACATCGAATAGACATACCAACATATATGTATATTTTTATTAGTTTTACTATTTGGTGAATTAAATAATTTAAATTGTAGTAATAAATTGGTATATATCTTGGCTCCTCATTGCATTTGCTTTACCGCTCCTGATTTCTTGCCTTTGTAATTCTGTAATTGACGAGCTTGGTCGTCCGAAGTTTTTAGAGCGTCATTCAAAGATTGCACTTTTCATTGGTGCTGGATTGATTTTCAAAATCACAATTTTCTTCCTGAGGTTGACGCAATGCTGAGTTCATTGAAAATGTGACTTTATCTCCACCGAAGCTCAATGAGATTTCGCCTTCGGCGACATTGATCGTGGCTTGAGCGGTGGCAAGGAAAGGTCTCCCTAATATTATTGGAATTTCGCGATCCTCGCTCATTTCCATTATAATGAAATCTGCAGTGAAAATAAATTTGTTTACTTGCACGAGTACATCACGAATGATTCCTTTAGGTAATCTTATTGATTTATCGGCAAGCTGAATTACAGTTCTGCATGCTTCTAATTCATAAAGCCCTAATTTAGAGAAAAGCGAGAAGGGCATAAGATTGATACTTGCACCTAGATCACATAATGCTCTAATTGGCTCTAAATTTCCTATAGTACAAATAATAATAAAACTCCCAAGATTACTTAGTTTCTTCGGGAGGTCCTCCTTAAATATGGCGCTGCACACACTCTCCAGCTGCACCACTACCGCTTCGTCAGGGAATGCCCGCTTTCGGTTGATTATATCTTTGATGAACTTAGCGTAATGTGGCATCTGTGACAAAGCATCAGCAAACGGTATAGTAATTTGAAGACTATGAAAAGTGTGCACAAACTTATCAAATTCCTTGGAGTTGTCCTTCTTCCCAAGTCGTGTGGGAAAGGGGGCTCGAGCCAAAGGCTGAGCGGGACCCTTTTCCTTCGGTTCAGGCACCCAAGCGGCTGGTACCGCTCGTGGTTGGGATGGACCTTCCTCCCCAGTTGGAATCTGTACATCTTCATCCTGCACAGGCACGTTAGCAACAAAAGGGTTAGGAGAATGATTAATACCTCTGTCTGGCAGCGGTGGTGATTGTGTCCGCTTCCCTCCCTTTGTTTCGATGGCCTTCGCTTGGTTTGGGACATTCTCGACTGTCCCAGGCAACGTTCCTTTCTGCTTCAGCTTCATAGCTTCAGCTATCTGCCCGACTTGTATTTCTAGCATTTCGATCGAGGCAGAAGTATTTCTTTGGAACTCCTGATTCACTCGTTCTGTGTTTCTCCAGAGCTCCTCCAGTCTCAGCGGTGCTTGGCCCGCTGTGGGAGGTTGAGCGAATACGGGTGCCTGCTGCGGAAAGTGGGAGGCTTGAAAGTATTGCTGTTGATGTGGATAATATCCCCCTTGATGATATTGTTGCGCAGCGAACTGTTGTGGCCTCTAAAATTGTTGCTAAGGACGCGGTCCAGCGGGGCCTTGAGCCTGCCCCTTTTGGAACTGCTGGAATTGAGGGGCATTTCTGCCAGCCATATAGTAGACCTCCGCTGGGTTCCGAGCCTCTTCAGTTGAGCACTCAGCAACCTGCGGACCTTGTTGGTCTTCATAAGCTCTTTCCTCATATTCCACGGCCTCGTGCAGCGCCTGTTTTCCTTTATTACGCAGGTCCTGCTTAATGAGCTTAGACAACTCCTTGACTTGGATCGACAGACTGTCGATCCTTGCATCGTGAGAAACGGAAGTGGGAACCTGGTATAGACCCCTCGATGGCTCGGGCCTGTTGGACTCTGGCCAACTTGACTGATTGGCCCCCATTTTCTCGATCAAAGCCCTCGCTTCTGAGGCACAGCGCCCCATCATCGAGCTTCTTGCCGCTGCATCCAAGGACATTCTTAATTCAGGAGTGATTCCTGAGTAGAAAATTTGAAGCTCCATGAAGTCCGGAATTTCATGATGAGGACAGTTGTGGAGCAATTGTTTGAATCGGCTCCAGGCTTTCAGAAGGGTCTCATTACTCGCCATCTTGAAAGTGAGTATTTCATTCCTTTGGCGAATGGTCTTTGATACAGGATGATATTTACTCACGAAGGCCTGCGCTGCTTCCTTGAAAGAGCCAGGAATGGGATAAAGGTTATCGAACCATTTCCTGGCTTCTCCAGATAACGAAAATGGAAACAATATCAACTTTGCAGTGTCCTCTGTGATGCCATGATATTTGGAGGTGGAAGATCCTGTTGAAGTTCTGTAGATGCTCATAAGGGCTTTCGTTGAGCAGCCCATGAAATTGGCTCTGGCTCGCTAGGCTGACGAGCGCTGGTTTCACCTTATAGTGGCCAGAGCCTCTGGGCGCAAAACTTGTAATTAGTGTATGATCCAGAAGGGACTGGTAATGAACATCCATGGGGACTTCAGCAAGCGGGCGTTCAGCAGCCCTGTGTCCCTCAGCCCTCTGGTAAGGCTTAACAGTAGGTGATGGAGGAGTAATGGTAGCAGGTATCGCAGCGGTGTTGGCAGCTTGTGCCGCTTGGGAAGCGATAAACGCCCCTTGCGCAGCTTGAGCTTGCTCCACCTGAGTGAGGTGCGCTTGCAGCCCTGCAATTCCCTGTTGGATGCTACTAAGGGCTCTCATTAATTGCTCCTCAGTCGGTGTGAGCGCATGGGGAATGGCAGCGGGGACCACAGTGGGGATGTGGAGCGGCACCTCCTGCGAAGATGCAAATGTGGCAGAGTTGGAAGATGTCCCAGCGGCAGTCTGGAAAGCTGGGACTACAGTAGAAGGAGCGGTGGCATTTCCTTGATTCGCCATAAGTTGTTCTCGAACTTGCTCTCTAAACAGACGTCTCTGTGATCGAGCGGAAGGAGTAGGACTTGTGGGACCCTGAAAACGCTTCGGACCCCTACATAATGATAGCCACATCAAAGGAAAAGTCAGCAAAATTAGTAAAAATACAAAAATCATTACAAAGAATTTAAACGTAATTTATGGCGCTTCAAAAGATCCTCAACCAGAATACTTTTTATGAGTTTAAAACCCCCGGCAACGGCGCCAAATTATGATGAGGCTAAAAATGTGTGCTGTTTTTACACAATTCACAGGAAATTTATATTTAAAAAATCGGTGAGTGGAAATTATAGAAAACAATCAGATATAGTAATTTTTGTGGTTGTAGACCCTGAGTAGTTATCACAATTATTTATACTTTTTTTACTAGTGAGTTTCCAGGTCGAACACAAGGATTTTAAGTCATGAATTTCAATGGTGAAGATCTTGAAAAAGCGACGAAAATACAAGAAGAGATCCGCTGTAAGCGGATCCAATCAGCTAGACTATAAAAAGCAGTAAATAAAGCGATAAAGATGGAGTGAGCAGGAGTGAGCGAAGCGAATGCGGAGAATGAAGTGCCAGCAATAACCAGATGATCGGGGCATGGGCGGAAGTGGAGACCAGATGAACGGGACATGGATGAATGACGGTTACCGAGTGAATGGGACATGAGCGAGCGGCACATTATATGTATACATATATATAGATGAGCGACCGAGAGTAAAGGAGAGATGTTGTGTTTGAACTGTGCGTTACTAAATGGATAGATTTCCCTGAAGGCAATGAGCGAGGGATGAAGTTGTGTTATCGGAAATATATGTATTCACGGAGGCGGTGAGAAGGAAGTAGTGTAATTATATTGAACTACCTTGAGACCGCTTTTGGCGCATAACAAGGCTCAAAATAATCAATTCTTCTTTAGCTCTAAACCAGTGAAATGGAATTTTCTAATTTCGAACTTTATATAACTGTGTAAAAATGGGGGAAGAATTTAGGATGAAGAACTGAATGATATTTTATTATCTACTACGAAAGCATGAAAAGACTAACATTATAAAGCTGTAAATGAAAGCAGTAATCTAATCTAAGAAAGATGAAAAGACTTGGCCAAGGGAGGAGAAGAACTCCTACTCCCTTGGGCATTCCTGTGGAGAACTCATTTACAGGGTTGGAGCTCTCAAAAACAGGAAGACGACTTGCTGCGTAGTACTTGCTAAGAGTGTTTAAAATCAAAGTATCGATCCTCCTTTACATAAAGATATCTGGCTCTATTTATAGCAGGTGAAACGGGACAGTTGCAGTAAGTTGTTGAGCAGTTCCAACGCTGGGCAGTTGGGCGGTTGCTGGTAGTTATTCTGTTGAGGCAGTTGCTGGCCATAACTCCCAGGGCGTTTGCTTTGATTGCCTTGAATTGTAGGGGCGCAGATCTTCCTCGCTAGCCGAAGGGCTGGAGGGCATCAGCGCAGCTAGGCTCGCTTGTGCTGACTGGAAATGGAATGACTGTACCGCTGCAGTTGGAACACGTAGTTGGAATCTGGTGATAGTCTGCAGCGGTTGGTGTCTGGGCTGTCGCTTGCAAGTGGGAGAGGCTGTCGCTTGCGGGCCGTGAAGGCTGCCGCTTGTCTCTCATGCCTTAGTATTTTCAGGATGTATTCTAGGCGCTTGCGAGCGGAGGTGACTGTCCCTTGTGGCGTCTGCCTTAGCTTTTCTGGCACCATACTACCTCTTAAAAAGGCAAAATTCGTTAATAATCTCAACAACGAATTCTGGATCATGCCAAGCGATATATATCAATAATTTATGCCATTGATGAATCATTGTGATGGTTTTTATACAGAAATTCGAGTAATACACAGTTTTGTCAAGCTAAGAATATGCTCCTATTTGGAGTTATCAATGACTTCTACGGATGCATGGAGTGGATTCAAACCAAATGTGAAACATCTTAAGGTGTTTGGATCCATTGTTTATGCTCATATTCCAGTAGCAACTAGAACAAAGTTAGATGATCGAGCTGAGAAAACAGTTCTCATTGGATACAAGCAAGGTGGCTACAAGTTGTTCAATCCTTTGACAAAGAAAGTGATTGTTAGTCGGGATGTTATCTTTGTTGAAGATGAGGCATGGAATTGAAGTGCTGAGATGAATGATGGTTTCAAAAAGCGTGTTGTTTGCACCTTAGATGTGGAGGATGAAGTTTCTAATGCAAATAACACTGCAATCGAAACTCCAGTAATAATTGAAGGTAGAGCAGAACAGGATATGCAAAGGCTTGTACAGGAGCACAGAATACCTACATATCTGCAAGATTATGTGATGACACCGGATGATGAAGTTAATGATGAATTAGTGCATTTTGCATTTCTGGCCGACACTAAACCGATGACGTTTGAAACACCTGCACAAAATCCCGAATGGA